CAAGCAATGCCATTTCTGTGCGAACTAAAAGCTCCACCTGATAGATAGCTCTCGAAGAACTTAAAAGCTGACGGTATGGAACGATCTACAGGATTTAGCCTGACTGCCAAAGCATGAAATAAAATGCACAAATGAGCTCACCATGGCCAGATGAATGGCAGGCTCCCTAGAAAGCCCATTGATCACAACGTCCTACTCCAGTGTTCGCTCAAGGTATGTTTTTCGGTCATCTGATCTACCTCACTAAGTGCTCAGACTGTGCCTTCCACTTTGATATCGGAGCACTCAGCACACCTCCCACTGCAGCAGCGGCACTTGGGAGGCCTGGGAAACTCTCAGCTCTGAGGTGAACCAAGAAACAGAGATAAGAGCTTGGACATTGGAAGGAGAGGGAAAGAATTGGCAAACCCAACTATTCTGCCAGTGTTTGAACTTGCCAAAGCATTTTTGATGAAACGATTTCGGTAAAGCATGTTATTTTGTTAAAGCTAACGTGTCTTGGCAAAACCTAATTTTTGATGCAGCCTTGAGCAGGAAGGACACACGCACGCCTTTCAGATGTGGTCCCCTGCTCTCTCAGAATAACGAGAAATTAAAAACTTCCCTGAAGCAGAGCAGTAAGTTGACTCTCCAGCAGCATTGCCCATTGCTCTAACAAGCAGGCAGGTAACCCACACACACTTACAGAACACACCTTTTGGGTGAACCCTTTCAAAAGGTTTTGCTTTTGTTCCAAAGAAAACAAAATCTAATTTTCCTTACCTGAACGACAGTACTTAAGTCACCATCCTCTGTTAGCAGGAGCTTTATTAATACAGAAGCTGCATTTGCATTTACTTCCAAGGGTTACTGTGGGAGCTGTCTGCCAGGACAAGGTAAAGCACGGAGATCGCAGATGCATATGGCTGAGACAGTAACAAGGATGGGTTTTGCCTGAACGATGAAGACTTCAATCCCAGAATCCGGTTTAGTAGTTGTTAAAATGAACTTGTGCTGCTAAGTGCTATAGCTGTTACTGGAAAACCAAGAGAGGAGGGTGTGACATTTTTTTGCTTTAAAATAATAAAATGGCAGTTGATACATTTTTGCATCACAGAGGATATTTTGTAGACAATAAAAAAAACCCACAACAATTTTAAAACTGCACAATAAAGTTTTATAAGACACAGCTGAGGAACTTCAGCTTTGTACATTATTTAATTCAAACACGTACAGTAAGAGAAAAATAATGGGAATGTAAGTTTGTACTTATTTCCAGAAAATAGATTCATTTGACAAACAATGTTCCAAGAGTAAATAAACCTTGTAATGCAATTATTTCAGAACAAATGCACATCAAGCTACCGCAGTTCTATACATTGTACTTCAGCCGTCAACAGCCAATTCATCTGCTCTGTAGCCAAGACACTTCATTTACAACATGTGTAACAGCACAGAGATGGTAAGATGCACAAAGCAATGTACATAAGATAAAATGTTACAAAACACTTGTATATATAAAATATATATGCAAGTCACCCCTAATATTTACAACAAATAGTTTTAAATTAGAGATCGTTCAAAAGGCATCTCCTACATACAAATGCCACACATACAGAAAAAAAGCAGAAAGGCAGTCAAAGAAAGGTACTGTGTTAGTTATGGCTAAAGACCTTTGGCTCCAAAACTCTGTTATAATTATTTTCAAAAGACAACGAAAACGTGGAACATTTGAGTAGTCTGTCTTTGAACGCCGTTATTACACTGACCACTAAAACTCAATGTGAAATTTAGCATGGCAAGAGCCACTTGTAAAACAATCTTAGTATTTTATACATCAAATGCTCCGAGTCAGATGCAATTATGGTTTGGCATTTTCCTAACTCAGTGGGAACACATTTGAGGACAATTACATTTTACTGCATCTCATGCATAAAGTCTGAGGTTATTGGGAAGGCTCTGGGCTGTGCTTTACCTAAATGAGGCACAAATGTGCTTAGTAGTTGCCCTAGAACTTTTTATAGTAACTTAAAGCATGCAAAAGCAAGAGGAAAAAAACAGATGTTGCCATCACACCTTTCTGATGGTATGTAAGTTTTGTCATCAGAAGGAGGATCAGGGCAAGAGCTGCTAGAATACAAACTTGTACATTTTAGCTGCAACTCTTTTTCCCACAGACTCTAAAGTCAGGCTGAACCCCAAGTAAATATTTGTCTTAATTGTTGGATAATGTAATTGTGTGTTTTCATTTAACTATAATTTGTTTAAGATTATGGTGTGGTCTAAATTTGGCCTGTCTTGTTATATTTTATCTTAATCTATTGCAAAGTCAGATTGCAACGAAAGACACAGAGAATATTATTAAATGACCATGTCTGTAGGTAGGGTACTATATGTAAAACTGTCCTGAGTAATCTGCATCATGAAACATTTGCTTTTTATCTCTCTGAAATTCACTTCTTGAGAAAAAAACTGCTGCATCTAAAACCATATGCAAACATTTCTGTTCACTTTTAGGGCTAAGGCACCAGCACTACTATGTGGGAAGAGCCTTCATGGGCACTGACACATCAGAAGATACATCCCAAAACCTCCTTTTTTTTTCCAGCCCTCCACAGAACTGAGCCCTGGAAGGAAATAGGTTTTAGCAAAGACACATACGTAAGTACGTGTGGCCCTCATAATGTCTTCAGATTCAGCTGGGAAAGTTTCTGGGCGAGCACTGCAATCCAACTTCAGATGTTTTTTTTGCATCTAGAACAAGTCTTTCAAAATGTGATTATGAAAAACATCATCTCCACTTCCACAGTATGTGCATCACTTTGGTTTGCAGGCCTGAACGTGGCAAGTACCCACAAAAATGGGTATGTAAGAAACACAAAAGGGTTACTCATTTAAGGGGAAGGGCATCCATCCATGCCTCCACTTGGAAGTCTGCCCCTTGTGTTTAAATTGAGCATTTAGAATTATCTTTTAAAAAAATCTGAACAGAAATGGCTTGTTTTAAACATCAAAAGAAAAATACAACCCAAGCAGCTTTTTTCACTAACTTTCCCGTGCATTTTCTTTAAGCTGGATCATTGAAAATGTCAGTGCCTATTTCCAGTTCTTAACTGTTTCAGGTCATCTTCCAGCGCTATGGGAAAGCACAAGCAATGAAGTTCACTGTGCAGTGAACAATTCGGCTGAGCATCACCAGACTTTGCATTATTGCTGAGCTATATACACAAGGCATTTGAAATGTACAGTTGTCAAAAGATGTCACTTAAAATCAAAACCACAAACCTGGGCTTTGCAGAAGTTGCCACAAAGTTATCAAATCACAAAATCTAGCGACTAGTGGGCTTCACAACACTGATGATAAATAAAAATATAGAGGTAACAATAGTAGTAGGAACAAATACGTGTTTAAAATAAGGCTTTTTTACAGTGTTGTTAAGATGCCTGGCCTGTAGCTCCTTGTTTGTTCTTCATATATTACAGATTCATGACAAAGCTGATTGTGTCCATTGTCAAAGAATACCCTTGGATCTATCCGTATCAGCAGATAATGCCCCTAATCAGCAGCATAGGATAAAGTATTGTAAAGACATTCATAGCAAATCAGTTCTGAAACATATGGAGTCTTTCTTTCCTTCCATATTACCAGCAGTCTTGTCATCCTTAATGAGAGCTATCAAGCAGAAATGATCAGTGCTGCAAATACCAAGATCCTGTTTCTTCCTGGTGCCTTTTTAAAAGTCAGTCTCCCAAATCAACTTCATGTCATAGGCAAATCGTAGCGATGCAAATCACGTATTGCATACGCTGGCCAGAGCTGACCTTAATCGAGTCAGGTTCCTCCCCTTCCAATACAGACTGACGTCTCTGAGACAAAAATCCATCTCCTGTCCACACAATTTGTCTGTCCCTTCCAGTAAGGATTTCTCTTTCTTTGTGAAGAAATAGTTGGTCAAAACCCATTGTCAATTGACCGTGTATAAGAAGCATGGATCCAGACCTCTTCAATATATTTACATTACCATTCATCCATTTTCTAAGTCAAGCTATATGAATACAAAGTGTGAGAACTGTGTAACATAGCCAGCAGTCAGCACGTACTGTCTCAACTCTGACTTTGTACATTCACATTATCTCCATTAGAAAATAGAAAAATACTTTTTACACAGAGAAATAAGCATACTGGAAATATAAAGAAGTGCCTCTCAGGCGAAGAAGTGCGCAAAAAGTGATATAAAAGCTCTATAGTGAAGAGCATACGTGCATGCAGTATATTGCCATGCCTGAAAGTAATCAATCCGAGATGCCCTGGGCTCCTCTTGTTTCCACTTGTGTGCAATAAATGCACATATTGTTATAGTCCATTTCACACTCTGTTGATGTTTCTATATGACAGAATAAAATTTCCCTGTTCCAATCTGGAATATGGTAAGGCCTTGTCGGATGTCTCCTGCCATTTGGCAACTGAATATAAAAAGACAGGAAGGATTAGGGTCCACTAAATTCTGCAACAGCTGGTTAATCACATGGGATGTCTCCACCTGATTTTAATGGGTGGTCTCTGCTCAGTGCTCCAAAAGGAAGGAGAAAACTCTCTCTCTCTCTTCCTTGATGATATACCCCTAAGGAAAAATTCCTCCCTATCCTAAATATGGCCATCAATATAAGGTTAAGAAAAATGAAATGTTACAATGACCTGCATGATTCCATCACTACTTCAACATAACTAAGAAACAGAGATCAAATACTGCTGCTTCAGAGTAACAGCAAGTTGTCTTTGTCAGAAGGGAGACTGCTCTTCATCAGCAATGCTGAAACTTGGCAACATTGACTTCCGAGCAGTCTTTAGGAACTTCATTCTTCTTCTAGACAAAGGTTGTATTTCTGGCTCAAGGGAGCCCAAGGTTTACCCTCCAAAACTGGAGATTCACTGAGCTCAAATAAGCTTAACCGTGTCTCCAAGGTCCTTCTCTGGAGTAAGTCTCCCTCCATGCCAGTGTCCTTCCCAGGTCCTTGGCCTCTCACTTTTTAAAGGGGGTGAGTTTGTTGAAGGTATGCCAGAAGAGGGATGGCTTCCGCTTGGGTTCTGCCAGGGCAAAAACCTGCTGCTGCGGGATGCTGGTAGGCACAGTGATGTGGCGCTGATGAATAGGATGCAGGCTTTGGTGTGGAGGAGGCACAGGACACCCGTTATAGCTTACACCTGCAAAAGGAACAGTTTAAGAAAGTGTATGAGTCAGCTAGCAGAGCAACCAATACTGGGAAAATCTAAGCACAGGACCATGGGACAAATTCAGTGGTCCATAAAGCCAGTATGAATTTTGCCATGATCTTGAATGGAAGCACTACTAAAGGTTACCTTTTCTGACGTTTGACTTTTTAATTGCTGCATTGACTTGGCTTAAGAAGAGAATAATACCAGTAAAAATAACATTACAGAATTACCAAAAATAAGCAGCAGTTTCACATAGCCTGGCTATATTGTTTGCACAAGTAAATTCTGGTATTTCAAAGGAATGACTTAACACAGTAGACACTCGTATTTTAGTCTACTCTCAGAATAAGGCTGGGTAAAATATTGCTATCAACAAAAATGTTATTTCTTCAATTTGGAAAATATTTTTCCAGGCTAATGCTCTCAGACTTTGACCTTTGTACATTCTGAACAGAATCTCCTGATCGCTATTTTCAGCCACTCCCCTGAAAATCCGGACAGGTTTTATAGGTAACTACTGACTGATAAAGAGAAAATGCTTTAATAATATTAATTCCAGGGAGCGGAGAACTACCTAATATCAACTCCTTCACTCCTAAATTCAGACTTAATCTGGTCGCACTTGCTCAATTTATTCTCTCAACACACTAGAGACTTAGGCAAATTTAACTTTAACACGGAAAAGGACAAAATCACAACATGTTTTCTGAGAGAGAAGAGGAATAAAAAAGCTGTTTCTAGAGAAATACGTTTCTAGTCCATCCTTCCTTCTAGTCTAGGGCAGAAGGAAGCCATTTTGAGTGTGTTATCATAAATACAGCAACACATGGTGTGGAGAAAGAACTTTAGGATATTTTAAACAAAGCACAGAATTGCTAAAGAGCAACAAGGTGTTTGAGTAAAAGCAAAGGAAGTAATCAGTAACCCTCATTTCTAATTCAGTCTCTGCATGCATTTTCTTACATCCTTAAATAAACCACTTGCCCTACCTCTTGAGTTTCTTCTCTAATAAAGAGAATACTGATTTGCCTGTCTGAAGGAGACTGGGGAGCTGATTTAGTAGGCAGTTTACAAAGGCATTGGAATTTGATATTGAAATACAGGTTAATGGAAATTATTTGAACTCTATGAAAACCATGAAATTTTTTTAAAACATTGAAGAACTCAACCATAGCCAGACTGTGCTATTTCCTAACATAAAGAACACTGGAACACAGTAAGAACGTAAAGCAATTCTGAACACCTACCTTTAATTTTTCCATGCCTTGACTTACGGGCATTCTGCATGGCTTGTTTCTTCTGGTTTTCTGAGATTTCCATTCCTATGTTGAAGTGTAAATTAGGGCAGTGGTATAAAAATACTGTATCTAATACTTGATTACATTAAATTAAAACAAATAAGTAAACTATATTTTAAACAATTTTTAGTAAATCTTGATATTAATATACCTGAAGTTTTTAGAAGTATGTTTTACTTTGTCATATAAATTTAAAGATAGTTTTTCACTGGGATAACAATAGGAGCATTAATTTGCCTGTAGATTACTGGGAAAAGCTGCTTTCCAGTTCCTGCAAATGGCAATCACTGGGGAACTAACCACACAAAAAGTTCTTTTTATAGATAAATCCAGATAACGAGATTAAAAAAAAGTGTAAATTAACACTTCTGAAAGCTACAAGCCACCAAGTAATAGATCGCAAATGCAGAATCTGTTTCTTTTTTCACTCACTCTGAACTAACTCGGGGCTAACAAATTGAAGTCACTGGTATTGCAGTAGTACAAATTTGGGTATCTTTCCCTCCACTCAGAGGAGACAGTATCACATAATCTGCCAGACACCGAAGCAGGCTGTGACGCGGTTGTGGCTGCATCAGACTGGGGCTGGAGCCCTCACTCCGGTTTCTCATGTACTTGTTTGCATACTTGTATGACTTACATGATGCTATAGTATGTGGTCAACCCTATACTATTTGCTATCATGTGGTAGGTGTATGACTGATCTGTGCTGAGTACAGAGATGACAGACATCTGCTATGAAAGGTGACTGGTGTCATCTGGACCCCGTGTACAGGCACTCCAGTTTCCTCTCCCTGTGTAGAAGACAGTTGAGATACACGGGTATGTTACGTTTGCACAAGGAGACAACAGGGTGCACGTGCTGTCACTCATTTCACTCATATGCACATAAAGAAGACAGAAGTTGCAATGCAAAGTCAGAATGAAGCATCTGGTTTGGTTCCATTTTGCATCTTCCCGTACTTCTCTATACTTTTAAAATTCCCTTTACTTTTTTTAGCCTGAACTTATGATAAGTTATTACAAATCAGCCTATTAACTTACAATACAACAGCAGTTAGCCATAATTTTGGGGTAGCAGAAGTTCATTTTATTCTGCAGGTTTTTTTTCCTTTATAGAAACAAGGAAACAGATTAAAAAAATCAAAGCAATTTCATCAACAGAGATCAGACCACTTTCTTAGGGTTACTATTAGTGGTTTGGAGAAGGATTTTCTGGCTGTAGCCTTTTCTTCCCATATATTCATAAAAGCTAAGAAAAGCTAGATATGGTTTGGGAGACAGTGACTCACACTAAAGTGTCTTTGAAAATAGAAGTAAAATGCCATTTGCAGTTCTGAATTGGAAGAGTATGTATTTGTTCTCTGAGTGGTTAGATTAGAGGCTTTGTGTGAAGTCCAGCAAGATAGCTTACAAAATCAACAAGATAAATTTAAACCTGAGGTTGAGAATACTGGCACCTTTCCACTGGTTTTGGCTGAAGGAAATGTTCAATTATGCCAAAAAAAAGAAATTTTAGAAAAGAAGCAGTCTTCTGGGTAATAGAGAAAACATCCAAGCCACTGTGACTCGCAAGACCAGATGGACATTAGCTATTACAACTCAGCTATCTTTCCTCTGGTTCATGATGCCTGTGCCAAAACAGGTACATCGCAATAATGAGTTGCAACATTTGAAAAGCAAGTTTCCAGAAGGCTGGATGTTACATGGGCAGAAAAGACTGCATGTGCCTATGTGCCATTATTAAAAATACAGTTTCTCATTATACTGAATTTTCTTCACTAGATTGCACAGTGCACGTGCAGCAAGCACGATGGACCCTCCCTTGCAATCCTTGTGCTCAGCACCGTGGGAATTTGTGACCCAGCCCTAAATAAGGGTTAGTGCTATTATGACAGATCTCATCGTTATCACTGCCACTGCCACCACTGTTGAATATCCTATGTTGATTTTCATGAGGTCCCAGTAGAATAAATAATGACATTCAGGGCTGTAGCTGCTACACCTTTGCAGTTCCCTCATGCTTGGGGATTTCTGCAGCAGTGTCACTTAGAAGGAATGGTAACACCCCACTGCCTGCACAAGACAGACCTGCTGCTGCCCAGGGCAAGCACTAGTGTCAGCCTCAGAAGCATCCTGACATACAGCATTTAGCCCATTCAACATACTCTCCCGGTGCTCCATAAAGCAACCACTGCCGGAGGAAGTGCAGATACAGACTTGAAGAGCTCAAGAATGTTCCTCAGAAAGGATAGGAATGGAAAGTGTTCACATTTTATCTTCTTTTGCTCAGTCCTGCTCACAAAAGTGCACGAGCTGTGATTTATTCCATATTGTCTTTCCATATGACTGTACTACTGTTCTCATATGCTGGAGTGGAGGCTTTCTGTAACTTTAAGAGGGATTGTTTGGACACTCATCAGCAGATCCTCTGCACTGCTTTATTACCTTTATTACCTTCTGATCACTGGAGCAGGCCTTATTTTTGTCATATTTACAACAGCATCAAACAAGAGAAAGCCACTAAGATCAAAAGGTTTACATTTGTAATCTAAGCGTTATTCCTGTCTTCGTATTCTTCTGAACAGGTGTTTTAAGTGAACATGGAATATGAGATTTGGCATCTTGTTTAAATTTTAATAATTTCTGAATTATATCATCCACTTCACTGCACTTCCAATTTTAACCTGCTGTCATCTAATGCCTAAGCTTGAAGAGTGTTATAAAAAAGAGAAGTTCTCATAAAGTCAACACACACAGATGCACTAATATTTTCATTACTTCTTCAGGAATATTAAAGAGAGTTTTATTTTTCGTATTAGTGTTGCTGCTTTCTTTGTGTATGTTTTGCCAATGAAATTTTGCTGGAGCTTTTGTCACTGATCTTAAAGGAAGCATGAAACTATGCAAAAAAACCCTGTAAACAACAATCCTAAATGTACATTCACACAGAAGACACTGTCCTTAGAGTGCCCCACGGGCTGTGGGTCTAAAGCTGATCCTAGGATTTGCTACATTTTTTCTCTGCTCACTCAAGGTTAGACTTCATTTCTCTGTAAACTGCGCAGTGGTGCTATTGTTGGGTCTGTAACTAATGATACCATGCAACTGCACAGGTCTCCTGGACACAGGAGGTACCATTATATGATATGGACAGTATAAATCTACAGTTATTGCTGCTTAGCTTTATGAACAGATGTTTTGGGCCAATGATTCATATGAAGTGCTAGGATTTTGGATGGATTTTTATTATTGATTGGTCTTTGTGAATTGCATCTTGTCATATCTCGTACCTGATTCTGCTCCGTAATGCACCACAATCACATGGGTTGTGCTGTGACACTGATGTCATAGCTAACTGCCCTGGACCTTTGGCCCACAATGACAGGGCAAACACACCTGAATAGGCTTCACTTACACAGCTAAAGGTCGTGTCGGGTAAGAAAGAGACACCAGTCCCAGAAGGCAGAGTGCACATCTGCACAAAGCATAAACAAGTGTAAAAGCAAGAAATTCCCCTTTGTTTTTTCCACCTTTTAGAGAGGAAATCCTTCCACTCACCCATTTCCTTGTCTTCCTGAACTCTTCTCCTTTCACTTTCACAAGCCTCCATCCATCTCTTTTTATCCCCCTGTTTTTTTGCACAGAACAAATGAATCTCTTCTGTTGCTCTGTTTATTATCTTAAAAGCATTCTTGACATTAATGTTAAAGTCTTTGTCTCTGCCATCTTCAGTGTCCACAATTTCCATCTCATCCATGTCAATACGATCCTTATAATACAAGATGTCCCTTCTCAGTAAGTCCTTCTTACAGAACACAAGCTGATGGTCAAAAAGGAAGAAAGTCCTCTGCTGGCTTTTGCCTTGCTTTGATATTTTGGTCAGTTCTCCTGAGTGGATCAGTTCTGAGCTTCTGGCCAACACATCTGGTCCCTAAGAAGAGATATATATATATATATGCAGTAAGTAAATAATATTTTAAGATCTTACTGTGTGCCCAGCCAGTCTCATTTTATAAGCAAGTCTTAAGTTCATTGTTTTTTCTTGTATTTTTATTATTAGATTTGAAAATGTCATAGAATGTAGGTAATTTCATACAGGCAAATTCAATGAATGTGGTTCTGCTCTACTTTATTTCTGCATAAATCAGGAGGAATCTCATTAAAGTCAGTGAAGCAGGTTCAAGTTCTGAAAGAACTACCAAAAATCCAAAGGAGATTTTATAGGTCTAGCATTGAAAAAAAAATCCATTTTGTCATCTCAATCCAGTATCACCTCAAAGACAAGTGTCCATGTTAATACACGCTGCTCTTCCTGATTTATAAATAAGATAATTAGTAACAGAACCACTGCAAATGAAGCAACTGGACTTTTAACTGAACAATGACCAGTTGAAAAGTAGACACTATGAACTACCTACTACGCTGAAGAAATATCCTGTAGAGGACGTGAAGTACTGTACACAGTACCTTTGCTCAGGGAGGGGACAGGCTGACACTTACCTCCCAGTCTACAATAGAGACTTGCCAACGTGCAATCTTGTCTATGCTTTCTAGTCTTCGTTTTCGCTCATTGATCAGGCATGCTACATTCTTCATAGCCTCATATGCAGCTTTTATGTTGTTATAATCACTGTGAAATGTAGGCACGTTTCAAAGATCACTTATGCAATGGATATGATGCAATCACAAACTGTGACACAGTGCTTGAATATGCCCGCATTACCCATTTATCCCTCTACTTGGGGTACTTAAATAAGAGAAACCTGATTCTCAGATACCCTGAATCTGACATAGTAGTCTGTACAATTCAGTGCTACTGCACGGCTAGGCTTTGTCCAGGAGCAAATTATTAAACTGGTGGAAGGCGGCAGAGGAGGTAAATTAATGAATTGAAATACTGTCTCTACTGAAAACAATGGTAGAGTTCCCATTGACCTCAGTGATACCTACATTTCACTGAAGGAATTTGTTTTTAAACAAGATTTTAGTGGGATTTTATTGGGAAGGGCATTCCTTTAATCGTGTTTAAGAACTGTATTTTCTCCCTCTTGTTCCCAATGGCTGGGTCAATGAACACAAATGGAGAATGCTATGTGGGCAGAAAAAATATCAAAAGCAACCTCAAACAGGGTGAGTGAGGAACCCAAGAACATGGGCACCAAAGAGAGGAATTAAAGGAGACAATGCTGACAAAGTGGCCTGTTTTCATGGAACAAGTGTGTGAGAGCCAAGATGGTCACCTTCCCCTGCCTGCTCCAGGTCAAATGCAACCCTCCTGTCCTTCTTCCATTGCTCTGCTCCCCTCCTTCTTTCCCTGAGCTCCCCACATGCTTATGAATCTCCCCAACCTATAGGCAGGCTTTCCTTCCTCTCTGAATACCATCCATCACTCCTTCACCTTCCTCAAATCCAGTTGGTAACCGGTCACAACTGGTGTTCCCCAGGGCTCGGTATTGGGGCCAGTGCTGTTTAATATCTTTATCAATATGATCTGGACGAGGGGATCGAGTGCACCCTCAGTAAGTTTGCTGATGACACCAAATTGGGCAGGAGTGTTTATCTGCTGGAGGGTAGGAAGGCCCTACAGAGGGACCTGGACAGGCTGGATCGATGGGCCGGGGCCAGTTGCATGAGGTTCAACAAGGCTCAGTGCCGGGTCCTGTGCTTCGGTCACAACAACCCCATGCAACGCTACAGGCTGGGGGAGGAGTGGCTGGAGAGCTGCCTGGCGGAAAAGGACCTGGGGGTGTTGGTTGACAGCTGGCTGAATATGAGCTGGCAGTGTGCTCAGGTGGCCAAGAAGGCCAATGGCATCCTGGCTTGTATCAGGAATAGCGTTGGCCAGCAGGAGCAGGGAGGTGATCGTGCCCCTGTACTGGGCACTGGTGAGGCCGCACCTCGAATCCTGTGTTCAGTTTTGGGCCCCTCACTACAAGATGGACATTGAGGTGCTGGAGTGTGTCCAGAGAAGGGCAACGAAGCTGGTGAAGGATCTGGAGCACAAGTCTTAGGAGGAGCGGCTGAGGGAACTGGGGTTGTTTAGTCTGGAGAAGAGGAGGCTCAGGGGAGACCATATCACACTCTACAACTACCTGAAAGACAGCTGTAGCAAGGTGGGGGTCGGTCTCTTCTCCCAAGTAACAAGCAGTAGGACAAGAAGAAATGGACTCAAGTTGCACCAGGGGAGGTTTAGATTGGATATTAGGAAAAATTTCTTCACCAAAAGGGTAGTCAGGCACCGGACCAGGCTGCCCAGGGAAGTGATTGAGTCTCCATCCCTGGAGGTATTTGAAAGACGAGTAGATGTGGTGCTTAAGGACATGGTTTAGTGGTGGACTTGGCAGTGATAGGTTAACGGTTGGACTTGATGATCTTAAAGGTCTTTTCCAACCTAAATGATTCTATGATTCCAAATGGAGTCTCTGAGAAGAGAGAAGGAAAGAGACAAATTTCTTGCCTTAGAGTCCCAGCATAGCAGCTGCCTTCCCTCCTTTATCAGAATACCTCTTGCAGAAAAGGGAGCCAGAGGTAGAAAACAGCACAAGCCAGAAATAAATCCTGCAAAGGGGTCAGCCTCACTGTCCTTTTTATCTGCTTCTGTCTCAGTTCCTATTTTCATCGGCTGCTGCTGATGGATGCGCTTCCCTTCTAAATCTGCGCGTCACTCTCCTCTCTCTATTTGTATCTATGGAAACTCTTTTCTGCCACACTGTATACAAAAAGTGAGATTAACAGTAACAGGATCCTACTGATGTCAGGGAGATGCCCCACAGGGTGACCGCATGATATCCACACTGCTACTCTTGCCCTTCCTTATCTCAGTTCCTTCTTTCTCTGTTGGTGTATACGTTATTCCACACTTGCTGCATAACCTGTGGCCTTCACAGCAGGCTGTGCACATTGGATCTTCACACTTTTTATGAAAACAAAACAAAAAACTACCAAAAAAACTCCAGTTGGCTGGAGCTTTACCAAAGCTCCGTGTGGGTGTAAGCCTGCCTGTTTGTGAGCATCTCTGTGCATTGGGCGCCTGTCTGTGCTTGTGGGCATCTCTGGGTGCTGTGCCACAGAAGAGGAAAACGGGTACTATGGGTGGAAGGTGGCAAGACCTTGCTGTCACTTCATCTGCAGGTTTAATAGCTCTCAGAATAATCTTTCTAAAATTAGTAGCAGTGAAAGAGATACCCATGCTAGTAATTGTTATTGCAGGACTTCCCAGGTAGCCACAGAACTGAATGGAGGCATTTCACATCCGAATGTCAGTACTTCACATCCCCTATACTTTGCTCCTGGCAAAAATCCCAAGGGGATTTTTTGGTGCTCTCCAAGGGGAGTTTTCTCAAGGTTAAAGAAGTGTAGACTTTGGCCAAGGAAGCATTGCCTCAGGCTGCATTTGGACTTCAAGCACAGGAGTCACAATGGAACATTTTTCTTGCAGTTGTACAAGGTAAAAAGGCAGACATTTAAAGATAAAATCTTAATTTAGTCAAAGGTTTAATCAGCTCAGGGTATACTAGAAAGGTTAATAACTTGCAACTTCAATTCTTATTTATCCCAGCTGAAAATATAATATCTGGACTTTATTGCAAATAAAGGCAATGTTTATTACTAATAAGTTTCTAAAAAGCATTACTTCCAAACTTGCTCAGATTGTGTTTTTTCCTAAGGCCCTCTTTAACTTTTCTTGTGTCCACAACATTTATGCAGCTTCCCCCTTTCTTCTGTGAATTTCCTTCTCCTTCCTTTCTTTGACATATTGGCTTTTTTCACTCGGATTTACACCTCCCTTCCTGCATCCTATTTCAGCACCTTCTTCCTTTCCTTCTCCCTCTTTCACTTATCCTCATTCTGTCTTGCATCCTGTCAGCCCCCTGTGCTGCATTTTCAGGTAGATACCGGTTTTGTTAATACTTGCGATGGTTCCAAGATGCCCATCTAGTATGGAGCTCCTGTCTATAGTGGTCAATGGGAGTTTTGTTCCTGATCTCAAAAGCCTCAGTGTTGTGTCACCCACAAAGCTTGAGTAATTAGGTGTTACTACTATTATAAGATTTGTTTTTTTCATTCTCTCACCTGTGCTCCTGAGTGGTGTATTTGAGCAATTCTGCAAGCTGCAGAGGGTATTTGCAGATTTTCTGAACGGGCGTGAGAAGAAAACCATCAATGGCAATGTCAATCATCTGCTGAAGCAAGCGACAGGCCTCAAAGAAGTGACGGTATTTGCCCTGTTTCATTAGTTTGGAAAGTTCAATGCAGGCACTGGGATGATTGTTGCAATACTCTGAATAAATAGCAAAGCCTTCTTGCTATAAAAAAAAAAGTCAAAGCTTTAACTAAAGTATTTGTCTCTAAAGGAGGAAAGATATTTTTGTAACATCTATTATATCTAATTAGATTAATTAATCCATTTCCTATATTGTTTCCAGGCTGATCAGACCTTGAAACTATGCAGAAATCTACATTGTAACTGTCGAAACTATGTTGCTTCTTTGTAAGAACACAGAAATAGAGACCTCCATTGAGTCAGGATAATCAAACCCACGTGAAGAAGTACTTTTCTTTGGGGAAGACGGCTATAGGTTTAGCAAGTGTCTATCATGAACTCACAGCCTCTTTCCCCACCACCTTCTTTCCTTATTTTCTTTAGGAAGTTTTTGCATGCCCAATATGAGATCACTGCAAATAGTTCAGCTCACCTGTGATCATTACAGTTATGAAAAGGAAACTTAAAAATGTGTACGAAATTACATGCTTGCTAAAGATGAGGAGAAATATAAAACATTTAAATAATTCTTTAATTGTAAATTATTTTACATTCTAAAATGCTATCTATACATAGTTTAGTATTTGATAAGCACTCATTACTAAAATCCCCTCCTAACATGGTAACTTAGCATTTTCTTATCATATTTTGTTGATGTCATAAATAAAATGGACTTTTGCAACATACATGTTGAAGAAAACATGACCCTATTTCACTTAGATGAGGTTCCTCTTTGTTGTACTGTTTCTCAAGATCCTTCAGAAACTTCCTTTGGAACTTGTAAATATCTTCAATATTTCCAAAAATGGTGCTTAACTGAGCTGTGGTGAACATTCCTGTATGTTTGCGACACTGCCGAATATAACCCTGGAAATGAAATAAAAAAAACTCTTTAGTTTGAAGATGTGAAAACAGGTTCTACCCTGAACAAGCCCATTTGAGCTCGCAAAACCCCTGTGATCTACGGGCAGGTGAGTGGTTTCCCAGCCATACGTACACACATGGACACGCAATTTCAGATTCGCATCCGAAATGTTTACACATTGATTCTTGCAGTCCAACTTCTCTCTCACAGTACCGTAAATGAATCAGGGAACCAGAAACCTGCAGAGTGTGTAAAGCCCATTCACACCTCCTTGTTACGACTACCCACCAAGCTGGAGGTGAGCCCAGTGTAAGGCCCCATGCATGCTACTACTTTAGCTGCCGCGCTTTTTCATAGCAATTTCTCTGTGCCCTAACAGTTCTTCTCTCTGCAGCCCTAAAACAATTAATACAAAGATAATTTCTACTAGGGCTAAAGTACTGGTTCCTTAACAAGCACGTAAGTAGGGCACAGTCTAAGCCAGAGAAGCAAAATGAAGAACATATTGTAATGCATTCAGAATGCTGCTGTTTGGTAAAATCCATACAGTATTGGCAGGAGGTAATAGTATTGGCAAGACTGCACATAAAAATACAATGACTTTTCTGGGTTTTTTTTCTCTTTACTTGTAAGAATATCACAGGCGCCCAGTTCACTTTATTCGTATCCAGTGTTAAGTAGATACACAACCGCATCCTCCAGTTTTAAAATGCCAAATTCTGCTCTGCCATCAGTAAGCGACATTAGATCACATCGGCATTCGCATAGCTAAGAAGCAAAGGTACAATCGGGCACCTCTTAGGGCTGAAACACGCAGCAGCAGCTGCCACGCACAGCCAGCACATCCTCAGGTACCTGCTCCACAAAGCTGAGCGTGGCGAGGAGGATGCAGTGCAGGGGCTGAATATCCAAGAATAGCTGCTGTGCTCATACTCTCATATCAGTTGTGGCGCCAGGGTACAGATGAGTGCGAAGGTTAACCGGTATGATAGGGGTTATCTGCCAGGCTCCTCCGTTTGGCTGCTTTCAGGCAGGTTTCCCCCAAATCGCTTTGGGAGCAGACAGCTGTAAAAAGCCTTGCAATTGCTCCGGTGACGTTTACCAGGAAGCAACCCTGACTATTGCTGGCAGTGTTATGAATATTCCTGTCTCCTCCACAGCCATCTGCTCTGAGAGCTGTGCAGTGGCTACACTGCAAGCCAGCTACCCCATTTACTACTGTTAGGGGGATAACTCCAACAAGGAAAACTAATTCCTGTGCAGCTCCTGTAATGTGCACTGCAGACACTTCTTGAATGTAAAATGCTTTTCTGGGTATACGCCAGCTTCATGATCCTGACTGCACCAGCCCTAGTGATTCATTCTAGTGCAGAGCTTGCAAATTTGGATTACTATCTGCAGTAGCTTTTCTGGCTTAGTCTTACTTGAGTATATTTTCAGCTTTATGCCCTGCTTGCACCACCCTACAGATTCACTCTGAGGAAACTAGACCATCTCTACCCGACATGTTGAACCTGGAGCACCACCTCTCTATTTGGAAAATGTGTGTTTGCTCTCTTGTACTAAACACAGAGGCATGTCAGATTTAAAAAAAAGAGGTACAGAATATATGCATTAGAGAAAATTAATTGTTAATATCAGTCTAAGAATTAATAGGTCAGTAAAGTATCAAAGTCATGTCCTAGAATTCAGCTAACCATGGCAGCAACACAGCTGCCTGTACAAATTCCTCCCTGATCTTTTAAGCACACAGTCAAGCTTACTAGCTTAAGCAAATAGTGAATCTAAATGACAAAACTTACATTTAATGCTTTAAAATTAGCCAATTAGCAACCAATTTTTGTCTTTTTGTTTTCCCTTTTTTCTTTCTTCAAAATGCATAAAAAAGGCCTGATCTAAAAAAAAAAAAAAATCAGAAAACACTGCTGTCTTGTCTACTTTGTTGTCCATGAAAGAATCTAATGATGAATGGTGGACTAAAGGATGACAACATGACAAATACAGAGAGAGACCTAGCAAACTAAGGGTACAAAGAATATTTTGGTAGGTTGCTTAGCACCCTTCCAGATGCTAACCACAAATACAAGTCAAATACAGGTCAAATGCGTCACAGTCCACATCAGAAGAGGGAAACTTCAGTGAAAAGTATTAAGAAGCTTCTTGTCCAAGTGTGGGCCTCCAACAAAATCTGAACAAAAAGCAGAATCCCCCCCACATTTTATGGTTCAAACAAGCAAGGTAGTTCTAAAACACCTTTAAAGACTTCTTCATAGCTTCTAAGCATCCAGCAAAAATCTCTTTGTTGGAGAAAACGAAAAAAAAAATCTCATCCAGAAAACATTCTCTTTGCAAGTTACTTTCGAAAAGTTTTGTCCCTGAACTGTAATTGATTTTCTTAAAGTTACTGGAAGTTTTCTATCTAAACCAAGTGGTAAAAAGTTCTAAACCACACTTCCTTCTCTAATTATTCTGGAAATAGCGGTCAGATAAGCAAAGCACTTTTTCCATGTCAAAAATGGAATGGTTTTTTTTAAAAAAAGGAAGCAGTGCCTTGTGGCAGTCGGCAGAGAGGAAAGCCATAAGAGGACACAAGAAGAGTCTGATTGACAGCCCCAGAAGTGCAATTGGGAATATTTTGATAGGAGAAACCACTTCGGTTCTCAACTTATATGGGATGTTTTGTTCACATTAGGTCAGCAGAATGCCCTCAGGTTAAAGCATGTACCTCACAGATGTCCTTGAGATGCTTGATATAGACTCGTTCTGTGTTCATAATTTCCTGTATAACGTTGGTTCTCATCTGATCCTTGTTTTCAGCTATTTTCTGACGATGTTTGCTAATATCTGCATCTTGTTCTTCATCCTGGATACTACTACAATTTTCTGGCACTTCTTCCTGATTAACTCGCAGCTGCAGCCGGAACAAACAAAGCAAATTAGAGTAAAGCAGCAAACTTTCACAAAATGTGATAAAACTGTTACAAACTTCTTACGATTAAGAGAGGACTTGCTACAGAAATGGTCCCATTCTTACCTTATAGAGAGGGTTCCACAACAGGATTTATCTCACTGTACCCACTGCATATTCAAATAAAGTGTTGAGACTTCTGTCTGGTTAAATACATGGCTTTCTACTCAGTATCGGAGAGATACCATGTTGTGTTGCCTGTGTATTTTTCAGACTTAAGCTTATTTCTGACCCTTACTAACAGTTTATGTGCTATTTTGGCCAAGCCAGCATATGGGTAAAAATTACAAAAGCAGACAACTCAAACATTTCTAAATAGTTTCCACCTCCCCAGTTCCCCATCTGTACGATGTGGATAACAGCACCTCCTTTTTCAACTTCTGTCTGATTGCCCATGTTTGCTAGAGATCTAGGAAGGGCAAAGGCAAGCACCATCTCTTGCACTTTGTGTAGTATTTCATACAGTGTGGCCCAAGCTTCATTATAGGCTCTCAAAAAGTACTTTAAATTAATTTCTAAAACATAGTTCAATTTTATACGGTTCGAGAGTTATACTGTCATTAATCTGGCTGAGTTCTGACTGGGGAGTTCAGACTGTGAACCAGATTCCTACACAATGTTGTGATAATAAATTAAGCCCTATTTTACCAAGAAATCCTGGCAGCATAGCTTTCCCCGCTCCCTCATGAAATTTGCTGTGTCCTCTCCATATACACCGATTGCTCCTGGTTGAGCTTTCTGCTGCCCTCATTTCTGCTTGAGAAATTCCTTTGGTTACAAAAAGACCACACAAAGGAAGAAGCCAGAGTAAAAGGTGTCAGAGGAGCTAAGGGATTTTGGGGTGTGATTCTCTATTGCTTTTTTCCTTGTGAAGTCATTAGGAGTTACACCACCGATGTTCAGATACAAAGATGCTGAGGATCAGGTCCTTCACTTAAATGCAATGCCATGACCATTGCTGTTGCACTCAGCTAGGAATCTCACGTGACGATGGTGCAAAAGCAAGAGAGTTACTTACCCTGACAAAGCTAGCTGGAAACCAGGCTTCCTTGTCCTCGTTTCTTCCCCACCACCAGTCTTTGTTGGAAGCTTCTAGAACTCTAATGACATCTCCAGCTTTGAAGCCCAGCTCTTGATCATCCATAGTCACATGGTCCCAGAGAGCTTCTGCGTAGACAATGCTGCCATCGCTTATCAGCTGAGATGGGAAGAAAATGAGGTTGTGAAGGACAAAAGATAAACAACAAACTGTTGATAAATTACTAAAAGATCAAAATACCTCACTAGAGTGCCCATGACTAATCCTATTACAGGATAAAACTAAAATTCTGGATTTTCACAAATCTATGCATATATTTATTAGTGAGAACAATTAGAGCCCTACTCCAAAGCAGTTACATAGGCTAATGAGTTACACTCCCAGTGAAGTACTAGTCACTGTGCTCTTCCCTTGGCATCTGCTGGTGGGCCCTGCTAGAGATAGGACACCATGCTGCTGGATTCTTCGCTACACTGGCTACTGCCATAGCACTTTTTATTAATATGAAACCTCAGACCTGTGGAAAACACCCCCCCCCATCGTTACAGCAATCAAAAGCCCAGGACATTACCTCATTAATTGCTAGCTGTTCCCCTCCGGGCTGCAGGTACCTGGGAGTGGCTTGGCAGAGCTCCTCGTAACTGTAATCTTCCTCACTGCCATTGTCATCCACTAAGGCTGAAGATTCAGTCCCACCATCTGCAGCAACTAAAACAAAGGTGCAACAGCTGTTTGCTTCATCATTTTTATGATTCCCCCCAAAAAACAATGCAAGAGGAATCGCCGAGAAGTTGCCTTTATTGTCACGAATATAACAATAACAGCAGAAGTGGAGGGCAGCAGAGCTCTCAGGAAAAGCACTTTTCCGCCATTAAATACTTTTTTTATTCTTCTTCGGAATTTTCTCTTAGCAGCTGATGAAACTGAGAAATTCTCCTTTCTGTGTGTGAAAAACAGAACTACAGACTTTTTTTTTTAATTATTTTTTTTTTTTTACCCAGAGGAAATCTCAAATGACCTGAATCAGAAGGGAGGTCTCAATGCCATTTCCCACATGGCAGATGAGAAAGCTCCAATGGGCCCCCGGCAGCCAGTGGGGGCTGCTGTCAGTCCCAGGCTGGCTGCTGTCACATCGTCACATCTCCTGCAGGGATGTAAGGACCCAACACCTCCATGCCCACCCACCCGTGAGAGGGACGGGCAGCCTACGCTGCAGCCCCTGCCCTGAGCCGGCTGCCGCCACCTCTCCCACGTGCCTCTCCCACTGAGACCCCTATGGGGAGGCCCAAGGGGACAGGGAGTCTGGACTGAGCACAGTGTAACTGCCTGAGAAAAAACTTGTTCTAATTGCCCCAAATCACAAAATATTCTTGGCTTGACAATTGTACATTTTCTGAGCAAAGAGGCAGCTTTGTGAAGAAATAGAGGACAGAAGTAAGATGGGCTTCATCTTATTACGCAGCCACATAAACCAAGAGAAACATCATGTCAGTGCCTGTCCCTATGCACATGTAAATCTGCAGTTACTGTATAAAACTATACAGCCCATTTGGGGTACATCACTGGGTGGCAGATACTTTCGGCGATCATCTCCGTACTGGCAGATGAAGAGGACTGGGTACTGATCTCAGGACCGAGTAATCCTGACTGACTCAGGCCCACGCTGCTCAGTGCTAGACCCTTTCAGAGTAGGTTTGCCTTTGAAAGCCAGCTGTAATGCTCAAACAGTGCAGGGGATGAGCTAGTAATCAAGAAGCACTCATGACCCGTGGCCCAGTGCTTGAGGGCACTCTCTGGTCCTTGTTAATTCATCCCTAAAGATTTATTCCTGTGGCAGGTCCAAGCTGTGAATAACTACAGAGTCTGAAGATCATAAAGTGCTCAAAAATCCAATTTAAAAAAAAAAGGTAAAAATAAAAATAATAAAATTCAGAATGGGCTGCTAGCACTGAACTCCTTTTCTAATGGTTACTGTGTCCCAGATAAGCTGCCACGCAGCCTGCAGAGCATCTCTCTCACTCCTGAGTGCCTGGCAACGGACCTTTAAGCGGAGTTATTGAACCTGCCACTTCCACCCAGCAGCAAGGCCAAGCAGCAGGGCCCTGACCCTGCCGCTTCTCTGCCCTGCTTCAAGCCTGGGTACTGCCGGCCTGCCAAGCTCTGGGCTCCGGATGGGTGAGAGTCGCAAAGAGATGACTCCTGGCTTTACTCCACACACCTCACAACTAACAGGCACGCCGTTGCCTATCCGTTATTTACCTTACAGGGAGAAACACTTCAACCCCCTCCTTATGAGCACTCAGTAGCATCAACAGCATCTTTCATCATTTGGATATTAATTTGCAAGAGAGATCAAAGCTGATTACTGCACACAATCACTAAAAAACCTGAAAGATTTTTCTTTCCTTTAAAAGTTGCAAAATATGGCATAGTCTTGATGTAACAGAACGTGGCTATTCAACCGTTCTCTTCTACTCCCCAGCATTTTAAATATACAGTCACATAAACAGTATAATCTGCCTAACCAGGAAGGATGCAAAATCCCTATTTAAAAAACCAAGATTTTTTTTCCCTATAGATTCATAAATCTGAGCACTGATAAACTTTTAAAATACATCTTGTGAAACTTACTGAAACTGCTTTATTAAAAAAATCTGCAAACAAATAATTCATTAAATCAATTTTTAGCTTTTAAAGCAACACCAAAACAAATTAATCCCGGTGATCCTTTAAACATCTCCACTGTGCTATCAGTACTGACTCTTGGTTTGTTCCAGTAACAACAGCACATCAAAATAACCTAATTCGTTTGGCTCCAGATGAAAAATGACTGCAATTTTGGGACCGATAACTGTTCATTATTCTGTACCAAATCAACAAGCTTACATTGTCTTCCTAGTTAGACTCAAGAGAAAATCAGTTGCTTGCATTCTGCATCTATTCCTCTATTGTTTACAGACAGAAAAATCAAAGGTAGGGGTGGGCTTTCCTGATTGCACCAACGGGATGCAAAAACTTAAAAGACAGCCTGGGACTGATTCTGATCTCCTAGCAGCTTTGTCAGCAGCGTAAGGCTGCAGGCTCCCATGGATGACATGGTATAAGCCTGATCAGAATCAGGCCCCCTGACTGCCACAGTTTATCAGTTCAATCTAAAAACACTGCAAAAAATATCGATCGAGAGAGAGAGCATGTTTTACTCACACGTACCCATCTGAAGGCTCTCCAGACTCCAAAATCGTGCCATTCCCCCCCTGGCTACCATGCTGCCGTCAGACGCGACGCCAGGGAAAAGGTTTGACCTCTAACAGGTGATGCTCAGTCCTAACAGGCTGGCGGAGGACCACAAAAGTCTCTGAGCTACCAACAGCACAGAGAAACAGCCTGTTCGCTGCCTTCAGCTCCCAGCTGTGCCTCCGAGGCTGAGCCCGGCTGGGAACTGCCAGCGGCGCGCGCTCAGCCTGGCCGCCGCGAGCTCACGGCTCGCTGACATCATGGGGTGCCCTTAGGGAGGAAGTTCCAGAAAAGAAACAAGAACCTGGCTGCCTGGCCCCGGCTGCGCTGTGCCTGCAGCCGCCTGCGCTGCCCAGACCGCTCCCAAAGTGCCTGAACATCTCAAACGCAGCAAGCCAAGGAGTACATTTGTTTTTCATTAAAGCAGCTTAATGCGATTTCAATCTATATTCAAATGACTGCAAAGGAAAAGGCTATTTGGATGGGAGCTGGAAGTTCCTTGTATTACAACACTGTTCGGAGTATCGGTCTTTGTTATATTATACCGGTTAAAATTCCAGTAGAAGCAAACAATGAAGGTATTTTTTGCATGGCTGTTAAAACTTTCCTTGCTTCGCAAGCAAATGCCGTATCATTATTCAGGGCAGAAGCAGCCAAAGTGTTAAGGCTGCAGCAGACTGCTCCCAGGAAAAGAGAGGAGGAGAGAGGCATTTTCTCACTCAAACTACAAACTTAATTCAGCTGCTCCAGAAAATAGGGAATGAAGCCGGCAAGTACCCAAACAGTCCAGCTTTCACTGGGACTGACCCAGCCAGAGCACAACCTCATTCATTCACCATGGGCCAGCATTTACCACCCTTACATCTGTGCTGTTCTGCAGTGAAGCTGGATCAGCTCGTGCACTGGAAGCAAAAGCAGGAGCTGCTCCCATCAGCAGAGTGCAAAGCCTGCCGCAACCTGCACTTGTACACAGCACTACATTTATGGTTTGGAAAGCTCCATAATCTTCATGGCTCATTCTTTACCTGCAAACTGAGTTGCTCAGCTGAGCCTGTCCTTTAACTGGCGACTGCCTCCACCAGGGACGTGCTCACAGAACCCTGGCGGCATTTCTGCACACAGCGACCTCTCAACACCCACTGAAATCACATGGCTCCCCCCAGCGCTGCCTCAGACGGAGAAAGAAAGGCCAAACATCGCCCTGCAATATTAATGCCATCTTCCTACAAAAATCCAGACTGTGCTGCACTGCACAGGAGACTGATAGGAATTCTCTTCTGAATCCCCAAACTTCCCTATTATTTCTGGCTGCAAGGACACTTGTTGGATAGCACAGTAAAAACAAGCTACTGCATATTATAAGATGTTTATACACAGGCCCACACATTTTTCTCGGCACAATTCATTAAAAAAAAAACAACCCAGCAAACAGAAGTGACACCGAAGTGCTGATAAACCTGGGACCTGCAAGTGAAGGCTTCACGCTTTTAATCAGCCAGAGCACAAGCTCTCTGCCATGTCAAACCCCTACCTGCAGGGGAAAAACAGCTGAACTGCCAAAGGAAAATGAGATCAAACCCCACGCAGCTCTTCTAGAAGATACATTAAAAACAAACTCTGAAAAACAGTCATTTGATTTCATTTTTGCGGAGCGGAACGGAACAGACGCGGTGCTTTTGCCCCATGACTAACCCAGTGCCTCTGTGGGATGCTGCCGGGGGGGATCTGTTCTCCCTCCTCTGCAGGGGCACATCTAGCACCTGGGCAGCCACAAAGGGAACCACCACAGAAGTAATCGTTTGGGGTGAGCTGATGGCGGGCTCGTTTCCTCACAGGATCGGCCAGGGACAGGAGGAGGCTCAGGCTGTCCTTTGTAGTGGCACTCCAGAGTGACCCTGACCAAACGCAAGCCGAACTGGCTTACCCACCAGGCAGGGCACTGTGAAAAGCCTGTGGGTAGCACATACTAAAATACTACAACTAAAGAAAATCCATTTCTAGATACTCTTCTGTATCATAGGACCCTCCACCCTGGGGCAGACCAAAGGTCCGTCCCCCCGACGCTGCTCTGACAGCAGCCAGTAGCAGATGCCCAGGGAAGAACATAAAAATAGATGAGGCACGTAATGGCATTTTTCTGACGTACTTTCCTAAATTCCAGCTATCTGCAGATCAGAGTCAGATCCCTCCTGGGGCAGAAGTGGTATCTTTGTGTTTAATGAACTGAATTTTTCAAACCACTTTCTGAATTTCTGCAAACTTTTGGGATGTGAAATACCACGTGTAGCAATTAGTTTCATAGTTTAATTTTATAGTGTGTGAAAACTATCTTTTATTTTGAACTTGCTATCTGATGATTTCATTTGGTGCCCTTTAGTTCTTATATTATTGAAGACAATAACTATTATCTGTTCATTTTTCCTATGCCAATCAGACTTTTATTCCCCTCCTGTCCTTTTTTCCAAGTTGCAGAG